ATAATGGAGATTTAATTATAATTAGAGAAGGCCTTAAATTATTAATGGAAAAACTTGCTCGGGTTATTAATCGATTTAGCGAATTCGCCGGTAAATTTAAAAATTTGCCTACTCTGGGATTCACCCATTTTCAGCCTGCTCAGTTGACTACCGTTGGTAAAAGAGCAACTCTATGGATTCAGGTTAGAATTATTAAAAAAGCTATTTAGATTTCGCATTTATGAACCTATATTTGAACAGGAATTACTATGGGATCTAAGGAACATAACGAGAATCAGAGGAGATGTTTGGTTTCGTGGAGTGAAGGGCACCACGGGAACTCAGGCTTCGTTTTTATCTCTATTTGAAGGTGATCATGATAAGGTAGGAAATTTATATTATCCTTAAATATTATAAACCGATAGGTAACATTTCCCTTTGCATAATAGGTAGAAACTTTAGATAGACGCGTTGCCGAACTCTCTGGATTCGAAGAATTGTACCCAGTAACTGGACAGACATATTCGCGTAAAATAGACGTTGATGTATTAAATGCTTTAAGTTCATTTGGCTCAACAACACATAAGATCGCCACGGATATAAGATTATTGGCAAATCTTAAGGAAATCGAAGAACCGTTTGAGAAAGATCAAATTGGTAGTTCTGCAATGGCTTATAAAAGGAATCCAATGAGATGTGAAAGGGTTTGTAGTTTATCGAGACATCTAATAGCCCTCGCTCAAGATGCTTTGATGACCAACAGTGTTCAATGGTTAGAAAGAACTTTGGATGACAGGTATGTAGTACATGGTTTGACTTTGTTGTCAGTAAATATTGTAAAAATTTACAAAAATATTAATTTATCAAGTGCCAATCGACGTATCTCAATTCCCGAAGCATTTCTAACAGCTGATATCGTTTTATCACTGTTACAAAATATTTCCGAAGGATTTGTGGTGTATCCCAAAGTGATTCAACGTCACATCGCGCAAGAATTACCATTCATGGCGACTGAAAATATTATTATGGCGATGGTCAAAAAAGGAGGTGATAGACAACAATGCCACGAAGAAATTAGAGTTTTGAGTCATCTGGCTGCTAGTAAGGTTAAAGAAGAAGGGGAAGAGAATGATTTGATTGAAAGAATAAAAAATACTGAATATTTTAGACCCATTTGGGAAGAGGTATGAAAATCTTTACATTGAAGATAGTATATTCTTGTATTTTTGTTAAATGTGGTAGTCACTTTTTATTTTCTTTGGATGCATACTTCGTAGCTTGATTCCTTATTAGATCCAAAGACATTCATCGGGCGATCACCGCAACAAGTTGACAAATTTTTGAGAGATTATGTGGAGCCTGTATTAAAACCATACGAAGGTTTGCTAAAGCAAGAGAAGAAAGTGATCTTAAATGTTTAAAAACATATGTTATTATAAAGTCAATCATAATTGACTCAAAAATATCGCATCACCTAAAGTAAATTATCATACGATAAGTGTTACATGCGTATAAAAATCAAAATTGTATATCTACACACCACTCTTAATTACTAGAAATTAAATACGCAAAAAATTTTTAGTAGAGATGTTAAAACCGACAAGACAATTGTTTTCTATAGAGTAGGTTAGAACTAATAAAACGAAAGTCAATGCGAGATAATTGTCAATAGATCGAATTGAACTTATTATCGATAAATCTTTAGGATCATAAATATAACTCGAGTTTTTTAAAAATTTATTTCAAAAATTTAATTTTGTGTAATGTTAATTGGGTTATTGCCAACTTATAAGAGATTATGCTATTTTCTTTTTTTCAAACGATGGCAAGCCATACTTTATTGATTATAATAGAGTAACAGTGGACAGATATTTATCCTAAACTGTGCAACTTTTATACTTGTCAAATAAAGTGTCAATAAAATGATTCCTATAGAAACCATATATCTTGTAGCTAATTTTATCTCATCAAAAGTCTGAGGAACTAATATAAAAGATCTATTAATGCTAAAATAAAATTTCAAATGTGTAAAAGGTGATTATGTTTGAGTAAAAAAAAAGGTTAAGTTTTAGTTTAAAAATGAAATAATTATTGTATTGAATTTAGTTTTGAGAAATCTTAAAATTATTAAGAAAATATAAAAATAATAAATTTTTTGAAGTAATAGTTTTATATTTTCTAGTTCTGATTTTTTATATATTATATTATTTATATTAAATATTTTTTTTTATTATTCTTTTTAGCAATCAAATAAATTAAAAAAGTTTTTGAAAATATTAAAACTAAAAAAAAAAAAAAAGTATGTGCTGTAAATATTATTGGAATTTATTATTTAATAAATCTATTCTTATTTAACTATTAAAATAAATCTTTTTAAAAATTTTTTTCGATTTTTTTTAACTATTTTAAAAAATTAATTAGCTATAATTTATAATATACTTTTTTATATATTATTTTATTTATAATTGATAAATAAATCAAATAATTTATTAATGTTTTAAACTTACAAACAAACAATATATTTTTAAAACTTAATTTTAATCTTTTATTTTTTTGATATTTTAATTTATTATAATTTTATAATATAATAATATAGTAATTCTAATTATAAAACTGAATTTAAATTTGATAACTCTCTTTACTAATTCTCTAATTATATATAAAAAAGATATTTATAAGAAGTTTATATATTTTTTTATTAATAATATCTTACCATTTTTATTAAAATAGCTTGAAATACGATTTTATCTTATTTATAAATCTCTTTATTCAAAAATTTAACTTCTAATAATTAAGAAAAGTCAAGTAATACCTTTAATATCAATGAAATAAAAGTTTCTAAAGAAAAAAGAATTGATTATAAAGTACTTAAAGATCATTCTAATTTTTGAAATAAAAGATTTATAAAGATTTTATACAATAAAAATTTTATTTTTATCTTTTTTAATTGTTTTATTCTTTTAAAGCTCTCATTTTTATGCTTTTTTAAGGAATTTTACCTATTTCAGTTTGATCCTAAATTTTTGATAATACAAATTCTCATTAAAGATAATTGACCAATATAAAATACATTAGTTTTAGAATATAAATAAGTTCCTATTAATTATACTATGTGTTTCAATTATATTATTGATAATTGAAAAAAAAAGTTTACAAAAAAATTATTTTTTAATTAAGCAAGTTCTAAAAAAAATAGTCATAATATTAAAAGACAAGTAAAAATTATAAAATATAATATTTCTATTGTTTAATAAGTTTCTCAGATAGTAAAAAAATTTTATTAAAAAGAATGTTAAAATCATCAAGCTTTTATTTTAATTAAGCAAAGTTTCTGTAAAAACTTTTTTATTCCAGTTAGACTAATTCTATTGTAATATGATATCGATTTCAATAATATAATAAGTAAGTAAATTTACATATCAGCAAAAAAATAAGTTTTGTAAATATTCTTCTTGAAATTTTTATATTTAAGAATAGTCAAGTTTTTTAAATAATTTAAAGATTAAAGAATATTTCTAGTAATTATTGATTTTATGAAATCATTTTTAAATATAATTCAAAATTTTCTATTTTAAAATAAGCTTATCATAATTTTTATAAAATCTTTTAAACAGTAATTTTTTTTATTGTTTTTATCAATATTTCTAAACTAATTATATTATATGCTTTGATTATATCTTAAAAAAGTATTTACAGTTCTTTTTTATTTTCTCTAATATCTTTATAAATATTATTAAGAATCAGAATTAATTTTATTACATTTTTTTCTAATAGTCCTATATAGTTTAGATTCTTTAAAAATATTGTTGTTTTTAAAAATATTTCATATTTTTTTTTTTTTTATACCCTATGTCAGGTTAGGTATATGTGCTTTATTAAACATATGTATACTTTACATTAAAAAATGTATCGTTAAAGCTAAGTCTTTATCTAACTTACTTGTCTCTATTTTAAAGAATTATTAAAACTCTAAATACAACTTCGGAAGTGATTTATCATTCCATTAGCAGTTTAGGTAAAGACCCTTCTAACTGTTTACTTTATTGCCTACAGGTTACTACTGTATATCACTTTACAAGATTCTGACAAAGCTTAAAACTCAACCATTTCATATCATATTCCACTCTTCTTGTTAGAATTTCTTGGAGGTCTTCATTTTCGAGGTTTTCTTCTTCAGTTAGTGGATCTCTTTTTTTCAGAAGCATAGTTTTTTGACTTGAAAGATATGAAGATCTTCTTATCTTGTTATTTCTATTAATTTCTTGTATTTGTTTCCATTCAATTACCTTTTCATATCTATTGTTCCAGACTTATTTTTGAACTTGATTATAGACTTTTCTTTGCATTTTTGTTATCTACTTTCTTGCTATTCTTTCTATATATTCATCTTGACATTTTAGATCTATTATTTCTAAATTACATCTGTTCTTATAAGGTCAGTACAGAAACTTAGCATATCTTGACTAGTTTTAAAAACCTGTTCTACTACTTTAGAGATTCACTTGTCAAACTCTTTTATTTCTTCTTGGTCATCAATAATCAATCTGATATTTTTCTCTTTAGCTTCTCTTTTTTTTTTTTATAGCAACTCTTTAAAGTTTTTGATAATTTTATCTACTTCTTTATTCCATATTTCTTTTAGTTGATTCTTATAGGTTGAATATTCTAGCAAGTGTTCTATAGTTTTATCTTGTTGATTATATACAATATATCTTACTTGCTTATATTGATCCAGTCTTTTTATAGTCAACTTACTTAGAATAGGTAGCTCATCATTAGCTAATTTAATAAGAAAGCTTCTTTGTTAAAATTGTTTAAAAGATATATTCCACATGTGCCTATCTCTAACTTTTTTCTATACTAGATTCTATATATATACCTGATGTTTTGAAATTTGATAACTCCATTTTTTCTTCATTCTGTTTTGTTGTATTTACTGATAGACTATTATCTTATTATTAATATTCTTAATAAACTATCTAATTGAATTATCTAGAGTTATTCCTTACCATTTGATTTTAGTAATAATTTTGTGTAAAGTAAGATCTTTCCATTCAATTGATAGAAATTTTAGAGTTTTCTTAGCTAAGTTATCTATTTATTTGTTATAAGGATCATTCAAGTATACTTTGATTTTTGTGAACTTTAGATTTATATTTTTTTTTATTAGCTTTGCTATGCATACCCAGAGGAACTAATTTTTTTCTTTGAGTCATTTCTTGTGTGTTCTTCTTGAATCTTTTTTTTCTAAAGATTTCTACTTGAAAATATATGCCTGACTGTCTATAAAGATCTCCATTATGCTTTCAATTAGAATTACCAGAAGTATTCTTATGATTGCTACCAATTCAGCTCTTTTAAATGAGGACAAATTATTTACTTCTGTTTGAATTGCTTTTCTTTTCATCTTTTCTGATCTGAATTCAAGCTGCTGCCACCTTTATTTCTTCTTTACCATGATTAATAAATGATCCATCAGAATCAAAGCTTAACTTTTCTTTAGATTCAAGATTATATTGAAGTATAGTTATTATATGATCTTAATATGCTCCTTTTTTAATATTTTCTTTAATAATGAATTCTTTCCAAGTTTTAATATTCATATGATTTACTCTATCATTTTGAATCTTGAATAGACTTTGGTCATTATAAATTACTTCTTTAATTTTTTTTTCAAGTGCTAACCTAGGGTTGGGAATTTTTAAATCTTGTGTTCTTCTGATAGACTTTCTAGTATTGAGACATGGTACTATGCATATCTTTCCTATTCCTCTTTCTATAATATAGTCACTATAGTATTGTACCTTCCAAACATTCTATGTATTTTTATATATTAGTCTTCTGATTATTGTTGATACTACAACTGATAAAGTGCATCACTATCATAAAGTTTCTCTCTTTTTCTTATTTTAATTTCCCTCAAGTTACTTAATTTCTTTTGCTTCTCATTACTATTCACAATTTTTTCTACTTGTCTGGATTTTATTCTATTTTAAAGTATTCTAGTTTTCATTTTATATAATTTCCTCTCCAGAATCTTATGAGCTACTTTGGTTGTTCTTCTGAGAGATTTTTGACTATAATCTGGAACTATTCTGGTATAGGTCCTTTACTTATATCTTGTAGAAACTGAAACATTCACCAGTCTCTTATTTTTTTGATTTTCTGATTGATTAACTGATTCAGGTATATTAGTTAATTGCTTCTAAGTAATAGTATAACTTTTTTATATTCTTTTGGTATAGAATATTCTTCAATTCAACTGTTTCTTTTTTTCTATTCAAAGATATCTTGTCATTTTCAATTATAAAATATTATTCCTATATCTTTAGCAATTCTGGTTACTTGGAGTGTAAAATTGTCTTTGTCTATTAAATGACTTAAGGATTTATAGGTTAATAAATTGAGCAGTTTACAATTT